GCTATCAACATGATAAATAAACCCCTCAAAATATGAGGCAATTGATTCTAAAAAGATATTTGAATAGATTTAATGGCCTCAATATAATGTTACCTGAAATGACGAATAATTAAAGACGCAGCTCCATCGGCATGTAAATATTGATATTGCCAGACCATAATATGTGAATTTCAACAGATAGCTTGAAAATATTTAATGTGGGGCAGATAGCATTTCTTAGTTTGGTTGATATATTAATCTGGCACTGGCCTCAAAATTTTATACAACAGATTTACTTCACTTTAAAATAGACCAGTTTGTTATCTTGCTTTGCCAATTACAAAATGATCAAATTCCAAATCTAAATTCTTTTTTCATTATTTATTAGAAAATATATTCAATTAAAAAACAGGGGTCATAAAAATGATTTCAAAGGCCTAGCTTATTCAAAGGGTTATTGCAAGACAGAAAGGAGAGTTAGCCTTTGTGACAGAGATATCTTTTAATTTCATTCAAACCATGTAGGTAGTATGTGTCCGCATTTTTACACGTATATTTATGAAGATCAATTGTCAGTCACCATTCTGTGTTGATTCCTACGTCCACAATATCTCTCTCTCTACAGAGAGATTCAGCTAGCCTGTAACATATGTTTTAAAGGGACCCTAAATTAAAAAAAAAAAACATAGATATTAAATCATAAATTACTTACTAGCCTAATGATACAGCTTATAAAACGGAAATATTTAAATGTCTATCAACATGATAAAATACCCAGAAAACTATGAGGCAAATAATTCTACTGAGACATTTGAGTAGATTCAATGGACTCGATATAATGTTACCTGAAATAATGGATAATTAAAGATGCTGTTCCCCAACATGTAAAAATCGATATTTCCAGATCGAAAGATGCGGATTTCAACAGATAGCTTGAAAGTATTTGATGTAGGGCACATGAAAATTTGGACCCCATAGTATTTGTTAATTTTGCTATTAGGTTAATCTGGCACTGCCCAGGATGGTACCTTGATGATCTACTAAGTTAAGAGATGATTTTAATTTGACTTTTCAAAAACTTACAAAAATTATATGGTAAAGAATATTTATTCTAAGGAACTTTGAATAATGTTTGTCATTTTCTTTTAATCCTTTCATCCCAAGCAAGGCGATAATGTCACTAAGATGCAAGGGGTTACTGGGAGTGAAAGAGAATGAGATGTTACTGAGGAGAAAGGATAATAAAAGAACAGGTATTCAGGAAGGCAGATGATGGCGATTGATGTTGCATTTAAATTTTTGAAGATTGTAAGTGGGTGGGAAGGCAAGAAATCTGAAGGGAGTTCCAGAGACGAGCAAAGAAACTATTAGAATAGAACTATTGGCATCTAACTAGTTCAACAGAGATCTAGTTGCCAATCTAGTAGCACTGCTTAAATTCATAGAGTCACGGTACAAAGAAGGAAAGCTATATTTATTGTGTAAAATACAGATATATGGCACAAGGCCAAAAGAGAGGATGTGGGGAAGGCTGGTCTTCTGTTTCATAATTAAACCTAGCTAGCCACAATTACTGGCACCCAACATACCACAATATTCCTTACACCAAAACAACACATTCTCATCCACCATAATACTTCAAGTATCAATGAAGTCCTAACTAATCCCTATACATACATTTTTGTCTGTGGCAAAAGGGGAATTAAACAAAGGGAAACCATGTCATGTCAGTGATAAAATGACTGAAATTGTGATACCAGATCAGGATTAATTACATTACAGACCCTTTGTTGGATTTTGTCAAGAATATTGAGGTATATAGCAGAAGCGCCAGGCCAGATATTCAACGTAGAGACAAATGGTAAATTATAAATGTGCAAGATGAATTCTGATGAGAAAAATTGTCTGTCACAACACAGTACAAATATTTATGTGAACATACAGGTGGAATATTAGTTTCTGGATAAGAAAAGATAAGTTGGATGTGCCAAGAAATTCAGGATAAAAGCATTGAACATGAGATTAAAAATACAAGTCTATCAATAATTATTACAGCACAGTAGTTGACTTGATAAATATTACCACTTCTGTCCAATAATAACTATTACATTTTACTATTTCTCTCTGAACACTTCCATGGCTGTTGATGTACTTGTAAGTCTTGATGAACCTTACATTGCCAGCTGTCGATTCATATACACACATATGCATACATACATATTTATAAATCTTTATAAAACTTACATTGTCTGCTGTTGACATATATATGTATATACACACACATTTTCAATATATACTCATATGTCTTTGCAAAATTTACATTATTTACTGTTGACATCAATTAATACAAGCTCATTGTGGAGGTTACTCACTGACACCCCCTGCCTTCAGTATGTCTTATGAGTGTTAAATTCTCCAAGCCCTCTTTCTGATTGTAACTATGTGTTCTTACTTGGGCAAATTTGATGTCCTTTTGCAGTGAAAACATGTTGATTTGGAAATTCTTGTAAAAATCAGACAATTGTTAGATTTTAATGAAACTTTCAGGACTCATTCACAAATGAATGAAATTATTTTAGAAATGTTTTTTTTTTTTTAAAAAGAAAGTCTTGGTAAATATATATATATATATATATATATTTTTTTTTTTTTTCCAAATGTTACGCCACACTTTATGAAATTCCTTTTTATAGCTCTTAATGTTTATATTAGTTATAAGGACAAGTTCTTGGAGAATTTAAATCATCAATTTTTTTGGTCAAACAGGAACCTCAGTTACAAAAAATCTGCTCTGAATTGTAACAAAAAAAAAATGCAGTAAAACTAAGACATTATTTATTTAGAAAAGCTTTTAATTGCTTTCATGAATACAATATATGTGGACACTATTATCTTAAGAAAAAAAAATTCAATGAATAATGAAATTTACAATTGTTTTCATTTTTTTAAAAGTTTAATTATAATAATTGATAAAGTCTTAAATCCTTTAAAATTCTGTATTATTTTGTAGCATGAAATAATAAAAACTATATTTACTAATCATAAATGGAAAAGCTTACTATAATTCAGTGACCGACAGTATTTTAAAAGGGATTTTGATTTTTTTTTTTTACGTGTATAAATGTGCTGATTGTTATAAATAGAAATGTCCATACACAAGATTATCAGAAAATAAGAGTGTTAGTCATAATACACTTTAAAATTTAATGTTTTCTAACATTTCCACAGCAAGCATCTTTCTAAGTACAGCTATAAAGCTAAAGTACCTAAAATTCAATAAAGTACAGCTATAAAGCTAAAGTACCTAAAATTCAATAAAATATTAAATGGAATATTATCTTAAGTTTTTACAATTACTGGACAGTTAAAAATGATATAAAAAATACGTTCACATTGTATTTGCCAAGTAATTTTTACAGTTATGTACCCTTTATTTAAATTTGCTAAGCTATTCCTAAATCTGTCAACACCTCAAAGAACAGCCTACATTCATGTTAAAATGCTTTTCTTCATAGATATTTTAAACAACTAAAAAAGTGATATTTGTTTCAATTCAAATTAATTTTCAATCAGCTACTTTTTCTCAAAGAAAGTTTCAGAAAAGTATATTTTACTGTTTAAATTTTTTTAATGACAATTGTTTTGTTGAAAAAATTATCTATGGACGATTTTTTAGCGATTTCAAAAAAAAAAAAAAAAATGAAAAAAAACTCATTGCATTCAATTTAAATTTGGTTTGAAACACAGTTTGCTCATTGGAAATATCAAATTTAATTTAATCAATTACTTTTGAATTAAAAACTAAAATAAAAGCTTCACGAAAGATTTAAAAAAAAAAAATGGATTTTAAAACTCAGGTATTTTATTTTGCCTTGGACGTACCTAAAAATTATTATTAGAATGTTAAATGTTTAAATAAATTGAATACTACGTAATTACTACTACAACTAAAAAATAATTGTTGCTGTTAAAGAAGACAAGTCGAAGTAGATCTTAATTTTCTCAAGATAGTATTATTATTAAATTTAAAGAAATATAAACATTTTACATTTCAATTCATTCTTCATATGTAAAAAAAACTAAAGAAAGTTTTAAGTTCCCTCTACAAATTCATGGGGTACTTTGTTTATCCAGTAGGTAAGCTTCAGTATATATTCGGAATTGTAACTAAGAAAAAGATGGTGATAATAATGATTAGTAATTTAATTATAATCGTCGAATATTTCTGAGTTTTTGAGTGACATTCGAATATGATTGAACTGAACGAATGGGTAATTAGGAATTAATTAGTAAAAAAACCATGAGCACTTGTCGATGACAAGTGATAATGATTATAGTCACTTTTTTATGTGCTGTGTCCCCTTAGGACGTAGGCGATCATGGCCCTCCACAACTTCCTGTCCCTTGTCGGTCTTTTTCTCCTAAGAACCCTGTTCCGCCACCAGTCAGTCATTTAAGATCACCGATAAGCAACTTTTAACTGATTTTTTAAATTATTATAAATTTAAAAATATTGATATGTATTTTTTTTTTTTTTACTTATCTTTCAAAAAACTGAACTAAAATTAAAAGAAAAAAAAAATGAATACCAACAATAACATTTAAAAAATAATGATAACATATTTTGCTGGGAGATCTTTTTGCACGTTTGTAAAAAAAAAAAACATAATAAAAAACGAACTGGAAACCGGTGAAAACAATTTCGTTTCGTCTTCAAAATTAATTTAATAATCTCGTTAAATTAATTAAAATTATTGGTAAAAAAAAAAAGTTAAGCTGATTTTTCAATGATTTAGTCACTTCAAAAAGTTTTGTGAATTAGACAAAGAAAGTATTATTTTTTTAAACGTTATTGTATTTTATCAGTGATTTAAAAAAAAAAATGCTCGATTTTCCAAGGAAAAAATGATAAAATTACGGTTCAACACATTTTCTTCACCTTAAACCTGAATAACAACGCACAACAAACAAATCTCGTAAATAATAAGTAAATATAGATGCTTTTTAAAAACAGAACGTACCATTTGCGACTTTTTATACTCGCTTAGCTGGTTTGATACTTTATCTCTGCTGTTACTGGCCATGACGTATTTTTCTGTCAATATTAAACAATAATATCGATGTTGAAATAAGAGATTTTAAACGAACGCAAAGACAATAAAATAAATGTGAAAGCTATGCAGTAAAAACCCGTCCGAAAATTCAACTATTTTAAGCAGGCAAACTGCTATTTTTCTTTGTGTATCGCTTTTCTCTCCTCCTCTTTGCGCTGTCTATGCGTGATACTTAAAGGGACGACCCAATACTGTGATCACCGAGAAAAAAGCTACCAACGTCAACCTGCTAGGTCACCTGATAAGGGTGATAAAGGTCGAGATAAAGTTTATAGTCAGTAACAACTTTGAGTGTCGTAGCTCTTATTGGTAGACCTGTTATTATAAACGGTGTCAGTCTGAGAGTATAGCTCAGAGATGAAAATTCAGTAAAAAGTCTAGAATCGGAGGTAGGGGGATAAAACAAGGGCCATAATTCAAGGGTTATCTGTTGACGCTTTTAAAATTAATTTTCCATTTTATTCACAAATAAGTGAAAAAAATATATTATTCCAGAGATTTATTTAGTAGTTACACTATTTATATTATTCGGACTGTTATCCTCATCTTCATTGCCATATTCACAACGTTTCGGCCGTTGTACGCTCCGGCCTTCTCCAGGTAATTGGAATTATGAACCAAACAATTTATTTCGACCACCGGGGTAGATTGATTTAGTTGATTATTTTTTTTAATTAATAGTGGCAAGGTTCGGGACAATTTTTCATATGTTCTCAGTTGATATTGCATTTTTTTTTTTTTTTACTGAAATAACATCTTCAGGGATGGCATAGTGGATAAAGGCGTTAGTTAGATCCAGTGACAAGACCCAAAGAGTGTGAGTTCAATGGAGAGGCGAATTAACAGGAGATAACTGACATCCATTAGACATGGCACGTGGAACTAGAACAGTCTAACCCAGCGAGCGAAATAAAGTGTTCAGTTTGACATTCCAACCATCTGAAGAAGGCCGGAGCGTACAACGGCCGGAACGTTGTGATAAATATGGCAACAAAGATGAGGATGATAGCGTAGCGTGCTTACCAAATATAGCGTCGGGTCGATTCACTAAATGTAGCAGGAACACCAAATATATAGGTATCACTTGGGCACCTCGAGTCGGTGTAATGTTTAGCAAGCTTGTCTCGCTAGCACAATTACGAATGAGTAGTGAGTTCGATCCTCACTGGGTGCCCCATACATTCGGCATTGTGCCACATCTAAGCTACGATTGGAAAATCGCTATATAGGTACTACTACTATTTATATTAATGATTCTTCCACGTATAGGATTCAAGAAATAATAACAACAACTCCAATTTGTTAACCAACAAATATATATTGAATAAAATACAACAACAAGCATGAAATCAAATCGTATTCACAATGTAGATTAAAGAGAAGGAAGTTATCTCCCCTTGACTGTAAATTGATAGTTGATAAATTAATCAACCGTGAGAAGAAAGTTCTCTTGTAAGATAAATGTACCGAAATAATTGTTAGAACAAAGTTTGCATGTGAAGAATGAATAACACCAAGAATACAATTGCTTGAAATGTGTTGTGAATAAACTGGTTTGAATCAACAAAGTTCTGGTTGATTGTGCTTGGCGAAAGTTACAGAGAGAAAATGTAAGTTTGTAGTTATGAAATTCTGTGTCTGTGTGTGCGTTAGAGTGTGATGAGCAAGATTGTTGATTTGTGTTGACGGCTTGGATCTTACTGGCGACTTGCGAAAAGTCTCCCTATTTAAGGAAAAGAGGTAGGCTCCCACGGAACCGCGGGAAAACTTGATCTTACATTAAAAATATGTGATTGGTTAAAAATTAATCAATTACTATACACATACTAAAGAGAATAGGTAAGTATGCCTAGAACCAAAAGATTCAAAGGAACGACTGCGATGGCCAAATTGTCCTATACAAAGGTAGTAGTAATTTATTAGCCAATCGCAGGCGAATAAAATGACTTGGCGTGTATGTGGGTGTGAAAAACAGCAAGCGCTATACTAGTCTGAACAATGTAAATAGGGTAAATAGTTGGGTTTCTACTACAGACTATTTATGTTTTTTTTATAGAAATTGTAGGGAAAAAAGTTCTCATTGTCTCTTGGGTATGTCTGTTTTCTTTTTCTGGTCCTGAAGTAAGTTAGGATAAGTAAGGATAAGAATGTTTAAAATGCTCAAACTCAAGTCAGCTTTGTGCTAAGTTGGAATGACCAAATTACTTATTTCATGAGGGAACCTGTAAAACCCATTCAAATGCTCTGCATTGGAAAGTGGAAAGAAATCTCAGTCATCAGTGGACCAGGGAAATGAACGTGCTCCAGCGGGGATGTTCTTTTTCCATGTACTGTTACATCTTAGAGCAAGAGGGTGAAAGAGAGTAAAGAAGGAAATGTTTTTTTTGTTTTTTTTTTTAAATTTTTTTTTTATAGAATTTAAACAGTGCCACCTAACGGCTGTTTGGCAAAGCCAAGTAGGGGTAATAAAATTTCCGGTTCTTTTATAAACTAGCATCATGGGAAAATGTATTTCTTTTTCTGCTATTTTTTTTCATTATTATTCATTATTATTCCTTTATTTATTGATTTTATTTAATTTTCTCACAGATACTTTCAGCAAGCAACCAAAATAACACTTTTTTGAAGCGTTTCACCCCAAGCAAGGCGGGAAGCCACTAGGACGCAAGGGGTTACAGAAAATTTGGAGCAAGATCAGATAGGAGTGATAGAAGAAAGGATGAGGAGAAGTGTAGTGGATAGATCAAGGCAACTGGGAATGTCGATTGACATTAAATTTGAATAGCTGAATATTATAGCTCTCAGGGAAACTGGAATAGGGAAGGGAGTTCCACAGGTGAGAGGTGCGAGACATGAAGCTATTGGAGTAGAAGAATTGTAGTGTTCACATGGGATTTTAATCTACAAAGAAGCAGTTCTTAAGATTTACTTTTGTTTTGGGAGAACTGGGTTTGATTCTGTCTGTTGAAATTAATAATAATAATAATTACTACTTTTACTTATTATTTGTTTATTTACAATTCTCTTAATAATAAAAAGAAAACTTTGTTATAAAAAGAAAAGACTTTTTAGTTGCAGGCCAATCAACCTACAGTCCACCTGGAGTCGACTCAGAAATATCAATCTGAAAAGACTAAGTCACCACGATTCAAGAATGCCAACATCATGGCGACTTATCTTACTGCTCTATGGCAAGCCAGTGGTGAAGCACTAAAATGATCCACTGCTGCCATAAACATCAGTAAAAACTATGTAACCCCTTTACTGCAATTTGCATGCTGGTGATGAAACATTAAACAATCAGTTAACAACCACTATAGCAGACGGAACTAAATTTGGAATATAATTATCTTTATGCAAATTTTTTATCAGTCTTTTATTTGTCCAAATTCCAAAAGAAAAAATAATAATGTTTTTGTGACATACCACAATTAATATTTTATTCTTTGAAATGTTCAATTAAAAAAAAAAAAAATACAAAACAGAAAGATAAAAATCACACACACATTTATATACAAAACTTGATTGTGAATAAATTTAAAACTATTAATTATTATAGCAAGTCGTTTTATAAATTCAACTTCAAAATCCCATTTAGCTCTAAGAATGATTTTATTATCGATGTTTTATCTATAAACTCTGGTAATTTGTTAGATTTTTATCGCGATATCTTATAAAGGGACATAGTGCAGAGAGAAGTAGATTTATATCTTTCCCAAGGACATTTGTGAAAAGTCAACACAATATCATGACAGAATGCTAAAAAAAAAATTCTAAGGGAAGTTACTCTAACTAAACTTTGACGAGAGTGATTTCCCTTTTAATCAGTCGTTTAAATCATTTTTTATATTCATTTGTTCTTTTTTTTCTCGAACAAAAAATATTTATTTGAACAAAGTAACTATAAGCAAAAACAAAATGTTTATTTTTTTTTTTGCTATCCTCTGCCAGCCGCAGTGATAGAGAAATCCTTATATCGCACCATGGCCAGTGATACACACTGCAAGACAAACTCCATTTTGCGAACCTTCCTTAATCAAGACGCCATCCCGCCAAAAAGAAAGAACTCTATTGAACGAGGGCCAATAACCTCAGAAGTCTCCACTGCCACAGGAATAAAAATAAATCAATTAAGATTAGTTTATTACAAAAGTTAAAATTAAAAACGATACAAACTGAAAGAAAAACAAGATCCCCCCCACCAAAAAAAAAAAAAAAAAAATTGAAAAGCAATACAGTACTAAGGTACCAGAATCGTAAATTAGAGAATTGTACCAAGCAACGGCTCAAGTTATCCATTTTCTGGCTGGCAGACTTGGAGTTCGCTGGTAGCAGCACTCCTCATGTGCCGAGAAAAAATATTGTTTTTCTAAGCTGAAGGTAAAAGCTGAGATATAACCATTATCATCACCTGGCTGAAACATCTCAGAATTGAAGAGGACATAAAAAAATTTAAAAAAAAAGGAGAAAAGAAATAGTAGTAGTAGTAGTAATAACCACCATCAACATCATTTGGGCGAACCTAAAGACCGACATTAAGAAAATCTGAATAAGCCTAGTGTCCCATCGTTTCAGAAATTTGCGTTGCTTGACACTGCAAATATTCTGCGAAAGGTGATCTCTGTCTGGGGTCTTACGACTTGATGGAAAACACATGTAGTGATACTAAATAAACACAGAGAACTGGATGTTAACCCTAAGACATTCAAAGAAATAATGTCATAAACTGGTTTGTGCGCATGAGGCTTCACGCGTTTGTTCCGGTTAAAATGAACAAATAAGAAATTCTAATAAATAAAATGTCTTAGCCAGTTAAAAGCGTTCGCGTCCAAATAATGAATGATTTTGGCTAAGCCAAGAAACAAGAATAAGTTGGCCACTTTTTCAATCAAACCTCAGAGAGGAAAAAAGGACTCCAAAGAGGACAGACCACATCAAAGAAATCTCAACTCCAGCGACCGCTTACCTTT